CGTTTCTACAGCACTCTGGGTGGGCTTGCATTTGACCAGCTGCTGCCTGCCTGGGAAGTTCTTTTTCTAAAATCGAAAATTTACTCACTAATGCCTAGGGTAATTCTTGCTGTGGTATTCTGGATAACAGCTGCCACTTGACTGTTTATAGGGATGCCACCGGGATTCCACTTTTTTTCAGACCATTACAAAAGGTACAGTATTTACATTTGGGTTTACTTTCTGATACGGAGGTACCACTATGAGTACTTAATAACTGCAGTTTACTATACCAACTTGATTACCAAATATGCGCCAATAAAGGGGACAAGGGAGGAAAAGAATCGATTCAATCATACGTTACTGATGAGTGTAATTCTTTTTTAAGCTCACAGAACAATGTAACCATCTGAAAAGAGTATAGAAGACAAAAAAAAAGGGAAAATGAAACAATCTTCCTCTACAAAAAAAAGACAGGATCACCGACAGGACTAGTGGATAGGATAGGATAGATAGGATTAGGAAGGACCAGAATGTTATTCCAGTTTTCATTGTTTGGCTATCACTCTTATCTGGGGTGTTAATAACATTGTACTAACCAAATTAACTGGGAAAGATCATGCTTTGCTAAAAAAGGAAGTGTGCATGGTCAAGAAAACATGGAGCAGTCAGGATGAAGGCACAGGTTTTAGGAAGATAAGGATTTCGAATGAAGGTAATTTTTTTTAGAAACAGGACTGTATAGTTTTTCATTTTTTTTAAAAAGGGGCTCAGTTGATTTCCCAAAGGCTGGGCACTGGCTATATGTTAGAGTATGCAGTTTTTTCTATGGGTGGATTTAATACACATTTGCGTTGGCTCTGGTTGAGAACTTTTCTCGGCAGCCAGGGACAGTTGTGATTGGTTTTTGGGATTGCATTCAAAATAACGTAAAGGCGCCCATGCTTGGGTTCGGTAACATTGTAAATAGGGAACATGCTTCACCTATGCCAACAGGTGTGGCTCATGATCGTGGCATCAATGCCACACATGGATATATCAGCCTTTGGATACACACAATCTGGATCAATCAATTGTTGCTTCTAGCCTTCTCATGGGATTTGATGACAATAAGAACAATGTAGAACATCACCAGCCTTATCCTTTAATCATCCCTTGTAGAAGCCAAAGGTGATCACAAAATATTACACAAACTTTTTTAAACATTTATCAGGATTTCAATCACTACGACTGCAAGACAAGGGTCATATGACCAAAAACCACTAAAGGCATCAACAGGCTTAACAACGTTAGCCTTGCTAGCTTGTGTACTTGCACTGCAAGAAGCTAGTCAGTAAAGTTCATAACACAACTGTCTTTAACAACTTTAATATGTGGCTCTATCAGCAAAAGCCTTCCACCAACTCTGTTCAGAATGACTGAGAGAAGTATCAGATAATAAAGAGTATAACTACTATATACTATAGCCACTATTGTACGAAAACAAATGCCATTTTCTAAAATCAATTCCTTGTGAAATGTATCCACTGTAACATTTTCTTATAGACACTCATATGTAACATTGTTAAACCCACAGCCAGTGTGGACTAGATATAACATTACAGCCACAGTCACATAATCATTGCCTTGCATGTCATAGAGATCTGTCAAGAGACTCCCCACAGTTTACAGACTGACGTCCTACAGTGTATTTTTAAAGAAAGACATATTTTAAATCGTAATCCTTCTAAATAATCCCAATTTTTACTAAATGTAACTGTAATCTGATTTTTTTTCTCTAACTGTAATGGATTACATTAAT